GGGTATTAATGTATCTTCTGATATAACATTACAAAAAGGTAATCTCCAAAGTGACAGTATCAGAAAAATGGCATACCTTTATTCCAATTCAAGAATATCCTCCACTACTGGGCAATAATCAAAAGGTCAGATGTTTGAGATAAGTGGGTAGAAGGGAAAAATAAATTGCAAATAATTTTGTGATATGAAATTTTTGTCCTGAAAAAATAAAAGGAGAGGAGAACAAATGCTAAGCATTCTCTAGGGAGTTGCTCTTCCTTGAAAGTAAGGTAAACTTAGTCTGCTACCAGAAGTGAACAGTCTCAATTTATTAAAGTAAGAGAATGCACAAATCTTATAGGCACTGTTGGGTGAATGTGCCCAGTATCTGCATAAACCCTTATTGTCCATGAAATTTGCAATACCCATTGGAGCATCCATGGTAGGCTGCATATCTTGTGATAAAAAATAGCACCAGCAAAACAGTGCTTTACAGTGCATAAGATTCATAAATGTTCTAAGTGAACTATTCTCTGAGGGGTCAATCTTTTTTTCAGCTCCTAGAAAGTGTTATGTAACTTCTGAAAGAGGCTCTAAGAAGTAACAAATTAGGCAGAAAGAGTGATTTTGTTTTAACTCAGAGAAGAGAGATATTATGCAAATGCGTGTTTATATATTAATGGTTTGGAATATTATAATAATGACATGTTCACATGCATTAACAAATTTTGACAAATATATCTACCATTCTTTAAGCATCTGGAAAAATATTATGATTCTTTCAGAGTAAAAATTAAAAAAAGTGCAATTTTAAAATTCAGTACATAGAAAGAGTTTTATTGGGAAGAACTGTCATCTTTTATCTGATTCCTCAACAGAAGATGGTTTTAGCCCCATATTGCCCTGGGAAGTTTTTAATGGGATATGCAAAATCAGATATTTCTGATTAGGCAAAACATGTAAATTTAAGATAATACAAACAAATGGAAAAAGGATTAAAAAATTATCTATGACAACATCCTAAAAAACAAAAAGAGGAGAGCATAGACAACAATTAAATGAGTTTTGTAGCATCTGATCTACAAAATAAAAGCACAGCCCAAAAAGTACTTGGCACCATGTTTTACTAGAAATTGTAACATTTTTCTGGGCAGAATAAATTGTAAACAATCCTGTTTTCATTAGATGATCTTCATAAGTACAACTCCCAGATAAACAAAAAGGCATCTTCCCTGGGTTTGCTCTCTAAAATTGCAGGAAATTATTACAACTTAATGCATTTTCTTTGTATAGCAAAGAAATTCTATTCCAGCTCTTGTTCTGTCTTGCTTACATGAGTACAGATACTGCATAATTTTGTTGTCTGTCCTCTTAAGCCTCTACTCTGAATAGTACTTTTTCAGTATAAAATAAATAGCAACAAAGAATCTCACGTACCTTAAGAATCCAGTAGGGGAAAAGTATCATACTCTGTCTTTTCCATTTTTTCTTTTTTAATGAAAGTTGCAACACAAACAGAATCCAGAAGATGATTCACACAACTCTTAAGTTTTGCTGGACTGCGTATTTGGTATAGCCCTGTGACTGTCTCCTGACTTACATTTCCCTGAGGGTTTTAAGCTCTGCATTATGAGGGTGAATATTTAAAGAATGGAGATTTAACATCATGGAGATTTTTATTTAGAAAAAGCACAGGTTCAGGCACATGAGATAAAAGTTTAACTGCTCATGTGATCAGTTATCTGGACTGAGGCTTTAATACTTATTTGGTCTCCTGAAGCCATAGAATATTATTGACCTGAATCATACACATGCTGAGATTGTATATTGCTGCAGTCTATACAGGTAGATAGGAACAAACTACAAAACCTTATGCTTGTGCAAGCCCTAGAGATTTTTATGAAATGAAACCTCTATCCTAAAGAAATAAAAGGAGAAGATGACTGGATTTGAAGATGACTGCAAGAGAAATATAATTTTGTAGTGACAGATATATCTATTTCTGACTACCACTATCAACATGACATCAAGAATTTATTTCTTATCATTCTGCAAAACATTATTGAAAACTCTCTCAAGGCAATTTCTCTTGTTTTTTCCTTTAAAAACTTAGCATAGTGAACAAATAAATAAAGCCCTCCATGAATGCCGGTCTTTATGGAGTTATTAAATCCAGAGGTAAAAACAGCAGCTGTCTTGTAAGGGCATTCTGATTATTTTTAACAGCTGATGCTCAAAAACATGAGTTTTCAGAAGTGCAGACTTGCCACAGAGATACAGAAGGCCTTTTCTGACCACCTTCTCTCAACTATTTCCTAGAAGAGTAAGCAATAGAAATTCCATTTCTGAATAAGAATAGGTGATAAATATGAAAATCGTAAGTGCCAGATAACTACATATTGTGAATGCACTTCATAAGTGTTTCACTGCTATTTTATGTATAGAATGTAGCACAAAGAAAAGGTCCCAATAAAGGGCAGTGTTTAAACAGTATATTCAAAGGGTGATGTGCCAAGCAAAATAGCAACAATGAATTTGTTTTTAAGATAAATTTCTTGTTACTACTTTAGTTAAACTGTCATTGTGTTAATTATAAGGGTGATTTGAAAGTCATGTTTTTGGAGTCTTTGTATGTATAAGAAGTTTTATGCAAGATGCTATAGGAAGTGCATACTTTTCTACTCCTCAGGTGAAATAAAAACATAATACACAATAGGCCTTTACCTTAAAAGACACCTTTTTCAGTTCCTTCAGCTACTCTCCCCTGTCAAATCCAATCTAGAATAGTCCAAACACTGCTTTCTGCTGTTGGTTCTAAAGTCATTCCTCACTGTTCTTGGGGAAGTAACAAGAAAGCAGCGACTACTAGTGCATACTTTCAGCCAAAGCATGACATTGCTGCATCAAAGATTTACTAAAATTCCTCACCCTCTTATAAATCCTTGTATTAAATAACTTACGTAGTAATAAACGCATACAATATAGATCCAGACTAAAATATGTTCAAAACCATAAAATGTCAACTTCATCATGAACCACAATTTTAATACAGTTATTCAAAAGCACATCTTGATATAAATATCTTGTATTGAAATGAACATGGCCATGATCTTCCACAAGATCACAGTCCAATACTCAATGAGTTAATTTGAAACTTCTACTAAAATACAAAAATGTATAACAGTACACCTCCTTTATTTCAGGAACAACTGTCTGGCTTTTGCTATTGATGCCATAAGCCCCTATTAGTTTTTATTTTTCTAATTTTTGTAAAGCTTTATAAGTTTTATAAGTAGTAGAAGTAGATTTTAAAAGCAGCAACCCTATCCCTCCACCCTATAGCACCCTTTAGTTTACAAATTCCTTAACCCTCTTACCCCATTCCATGTATCCTATATCAATCCTACCCCCAAATCCCGTAGAAAATGTTTAGTCTCTTGTCAAGGCAAGGCCTGTCCTGTTTGGAGAACGCTTGTATCTTGGTCTAAACCGCAGAACAGAGTCAAAGAACTGGGTGACTCTGCTCTCTGTACCCCGAAGAAGAAGAAGATTGATGCAGACAGGGTCTCAAAGCCCCCAGACCCAATTTCTAAGGGGTGGACCAAAGGGTGGACCAGAGTAAAAGTTACAGGGTGGAAACAGTTGGGATTGGACAGATATTGTTACAAAATGTAACATCTCAGGCACAGCCGGGGCACATCGTGTAACATCTCTTGCCTTGGCAAAATTAAACCCTTTCCTTATCTCACCCTCGATTAACAACTGGATTTTTTCTTAGCACCAGCTGAGCAGGCATCACTATAATGTTCCATCACTATCTGAGTGAGATTGACATGCTAATCTGAGAGAGGTCTGGTGTCTCACTTAAAGAATATTTTTAATATATGAATTAGTCCTTCAAATTTTATTGTTTTTATTAATATTGACATATATTTTATTGATCTCTTTCGGAACTAGTATATGAAATACATTAATCTAGTACGAACAAATAGCATGACAATATTTTTTTCTGCTGTAAATATAGTTAAATGTAGGAACTGATTCTTTAGGAAGATTATAGAGTCTCCTTCCCTGAGAGATTTTACAGTTAAAAAATTATGTAAAGAATAGTTTCAATATCACTGTAAGTACCATATGTACCAATGATGGAGTTAATGTTTTTCATCAGAGATGTCTAGTGATCTGTAAGATCAGGTGTTCCACAGCACTACTACAAATATATAACTGTAAAGTAAAGCCAATCCCCTGCACTTCCCACATACAAACAGGTATAAAAACAAAACCACAGAATACACACACATACACAAAAGCCTAACAGGAGAACTCAGACAAACATTTAAAGTTTAATCTTATTTTCATCAGATTGCAAAATGGAGACCAAAATGCAATACTCAACCAAGTGTAAGTCTAATTTAGGTTTGGGTTTTGGAAAGGTTGGGCAGTTTCTTTGATTCAAGAAATGTTCAGAAACACTTGGTTTGGTGATTCTGAAAGCCATTTTCCTTCTGGGCCTATGCCATATGAATTTCTGATTGTAATTTTCAGGCACACTTTTTTAGGAAGAGCATGAAGCAATAGACTATCATCCAGGAAGCACTGAAGGACCTACTCTTGATGTCATGTCTGTAAAAGTATGAATTCCAGTTTTTATGCCCCTTAAATTTTTATGTTCTCCTCCAAGCAATAATTAGAAATAACCTTGACAGTACCCAGTACCCTATTTCACCTAGAAATAGGCTAAATTGTCAACATCTTTTTCATTTATCCACTTTTTAAAAAACATTCCTGAATGTATGAAGGATAAATGTTAAAATTAAGTGGAATATAAAAATAAAATGCAATATCTGATTATTTGTAGTTTGCAATATATTGTATATGCATGCCCTTGACATCTGACAATTCAGTGATGACACATTACAATTTTCCCATTCTGTCAAGAAGCACACGGAATTTTTTCTCTTCAGTTCAGACATCCCAGACAGAACAGAGACCTGTTTCTTTGAGATTTATGTTTGATTTACCTTCATTGTTCCTTAGAGTAAAGTTGGGATTCAAAGAAAGCCCTTCATCAAGAGAAAAATGGAATCTTGCTCCATTTGCAGAGTTATCTTTGTCAGTTGCAGTGATAGTCTGAATTACCTGAAACAAAAATTAACAGTGAATGTGCTGAAACGTTACCTTGACCCATATGGTGCCTGACCTCAGCAGGATGCTCAAGCTTACCTTATTTTAATTTTCTACTTGACTGCTGCTAAATTCAACAGATGAAACAACTGGGTCATTAACTTGATTTCTCTAGCATGAAAGATTTTAGGAACCAAACATCACAGTTTTATAAAAGCATCTAAAGAATCCATACTTTCTGATGTTTTGATATGGTCAGGACCTGGTACAGAAGTTATCACCATCGGCATTGCATCCTGATAACTTTCTAAATTACAGTTTCAGCTAAACATTAGTTTTTATGGAACCAAAAGACAAGCTGAACCAGGATGGTCTATGTGAAGCGTCATCTGCCTGCCATCCTAATAATTAGATGCATGTCAATATTGGTTAGGAAAAATAATTATCTAAAATGGTAGGTATATAATGGCAGGTAAATATCTATCTGTTTAAAATTCCTGTCAAGAGTCAGTTTAAATTGCCAGAGAACAGAACAGGAAGAACAGCAGCCACTCCTGGGTTTAGTTTGGTTTGCCCAAAAAGGATCAGAACTAGATCTAGCAACGACATATGAGGGATGTGTTTTTGAAAGGTAAGGCTTTGCCTTCAAAAGTCCTAGTGATTTTTATTATTTACTTTCAACTAAAATTGATCGAAGCTTTTGGAATGTGGGACCAAACAGTATTTCTACCTTTGCTTTAATTTTCATGCTGGGTCTTGAAACTCAAGTGCCAAAATGGAATCCAATAAAGGTTGTTCTTGTGATATAGGCAGTGAAGCCCACACAAACTGCTACACAGAAATGATAGATATCCTGAAGGAAATGTAAAAGGGGGAGGGAACGTGCTCTTTTCACGAGAATTTTTCTGTTCAGTGTTCAGCTTTAGTCTGTCTGGACTGAACCTGAAGCATAAATAGTGCAGGCTCAAGTGGTTTGGTCTGTTTTAAAACTGAAAGGCAGCACACAGTTCCCTACCTCCCTACCTTCTCACATAAGAGAAGCAAAACAAATACATTTTGAAGCCATATGTCGGTTTGGGCTGGGGTAGAGTCAATTTTCTTCGCAGTAACCGGTATGGGGCTGTGGTTTTGATTTGTGCTGGAAACAGTGTTGATAACACAGAATGTTTTTGTCATTGCTGAGCAGTGCTTACACAGTGCCAAGGGCTTTTCTGCTCCTTGATCCGAAGGATATTCCAGACCATATGGCATTAGGCTCACATATAAAGCTGGGGGAAGAAGAAGGAAGGGGAGGATGTTTGGAGTGATAGTGTTTGTCTTCCAAAGTCACCATTCTGATGCGATGGTGCCCTGCCCTCCTGGTGATGGCCAAACACCTTCCTGTCCATGGGAAGTGGTGAATGAATTCCCTGTTTTGCTTTGCTTGCATATGCAGCTTTTGCTTTACCAATAAACTGTCTTTATCTCAACGCATGAGTTCTCTTACTTTTACTTTCCTAATTCTTTCCCTCATCCCACTGTGGGGGAGTGAGCAAGTAGCTGCATGTGGCTGAGTTACCAGTTGGGGTTAAACCATGACAACTCAATAGGGTATAATGCTTATTCTACTTACTATATACAACAAAGTACATTTTATTGACTATACACACCTGAGACAATTAACAATATTTAGGATGATTGACAAGAATATTTTAAGAATTTGTCATAATACTTTTTTGCTGAAGTGTAGCAAAGTAAGATCCATCTTAAAAAATCCAAAATACCTATAATTGTGCAGTTTATCAAAGTCATGGCAATATTGTTTAAAAAGTTTGGCAAAAGCTAATTGTTCACTACTGAATTTTGCAAAGGTGGCAAAACTGTTAGTGAAACTACCATGCAAAAACAAATAAATAAGATTTTCCTAGCTAGATATATTTAGTTCATAATTTGGAAATGGTATGAGGTGAGATGAGGCAAGGCAAGACAAAAAAAAGGGGTGATGGAAGAATATGTTCAAAAGAATCAATTTCTGCTATTATTCAAATAGTGAAAATACTTTTAAATGCCATTCAAGCTGTAAAAACTTCAGACAAGACCATAAAAATATATTAATTTATGAAATATTATTTAAAAATCCTCAGTGCTGTTAATCAGAGAAATATAAGTCAATTTGTCGTGCACATTCAGCTTTTATTTGACAGCCTAGTAGATAAATTTTTGTCCTGTTGCCCTCTCCAATGAAAACATTCAGTGACATTTTACAGAATCTTGCATCAAGACCATGACAGTTTGCAAAAGAAACGCCTTTGATCAAGGCCACAAGACTAGTATAAAAATTATCTGAGTTTAAGACTAACTTTATAACTCAAAATATACTGTCTACATTCCCTGATTTCACACATGGAAATTCATATGTCCACAGAATTCACCCATATATGTAAAAAATATAGCACCAGATGTTACAAAAATCATGCTTTTCCATGTAGAAAATAAACATTATATGTTTAATAAGACAGGTCAGAACATTTTTAGAGGTCTGTTTTTAAAAAAGAAAGTTCACACTCTTTCAGAAAAGATTTGTAAGACATTCACTTAGAGGTGAGAAACAAAAGTATGGGTCCTCTTGACACCGAAATGTACTGTTAATCCTTTTCTGTTTAATTTGCCAACTACTTAATAGCCTATTAGCAGACATTAACAGGCACCTTACCAAAGCTGATTAAAATAAAAATGCAGACACATAGCCTCAGCTGCAGTAAAGTTCAGTTGACAACACTGATAGAATGAAACTGAAAGTTTATGCTTTTCCTTTAAAGGCAAGACTTGGCAAGAAAAAGGAATTCCAAGAACTGAGGAGACCTAATTGCAGAGGATGGAGAGCAGGTGCTAAATTCTACTCAGATCCTTTTTTAGAACTGCATCAATAAACAAGCAAATATGCACACAACAAACACATAGTAGAGGCATTCCTTGTCAGTTAACATTGATTTCCTTTGTGGAAGATTGCAAAATGTCATTTTCCCATATTGGCTGAATTTCACAATCATTCACAAAATGAGTATATGTCTAGAAGTCAGTATTCTCCAAGTCTCAATGCCATTTAAGATAAAATCACAGCTGCTTTATCGACTTTAATATCTACCAGGCTTCACCTGGAATCTGTTATAGATACTTGGTCTTTCTTCTCAACAATACAATTACTAAGCTGTCAGTACATCATGGAAATGATCATCTTCTCATAAGCATTTTCTTTTTGTCATGCCTTAGGAGTGGTCATTTAAGCTTAAGCATAAAGCTCTAAAGAAATTTTTGGTTCGGATTTTTGTTGGTTTTGTTTGGTGGTTTGGTTGGGATTTTTTAAATAAGAAAATAGAGCAGTAGAGGGAAAAAGACGTGACAGAGGCTTTGCAATTAGATGATACTTTGATTCTCTTCATAGAAGCCTCCTCTAATAACAAACAAACAAAGACAGAAAGTCCTCCAATGACAATCTACTGCTTAGCTTATCTTGCACATAATAATTTCAAAATAGGTGTACTGAGGAAACAAATAAGGACTCTTACAGGACAGTGCAGAGCTGGAACCCAACCTGAAAGACCTCGTCAAACAGATATCTCCAGCAGTACAGAATATGTTCTTTAGGGATAAATCTTATGAAGCATTCCCACAAGATGATGAAAAACTCAAGAGTAATGCTGCCTTTTCAGTGATTCAAAACCACCCAGCTGGGAACGCATTTTAGCATATGGTACACTTCTGCAATCCTTATTTGTCCCTCCCTAATATTTGTTGAACACTGTCTTTTTCTTTTCCTTAGACTAAATGGTAACATCTTCTGAGTAAGATCCATGGACTTTTGTGTTTTGTTTTAGTTTTTGTATAATGCAATAGTGTCACAATTTTTCTGAAACCTTCTCGTACAATGCAAATAACAAATAGTGCATGTCATTTATGTCCTTTTAGTTTAAGCATAGAACACCAAGCTGGTCCATCCTTTGACACTAAAGGACTGCTTGTGGAGTCCCTCATGGTAGCATTAATCTCAGCTGTTAAACTGCAATGTTACAGAACTATAGAGTCATTCTTGCAACAGTAGCTCAGAGAGAAATACAATGCTGACCCAAATAGGGAGCAAGTGCTATTGTACCACTTAAAGATCCACTTAAAGATTTTTTTTAAAAATCTTTTACGAGTTCTAATTCTTCTATATTTGGCTTTATTTAAGGTTTTCAGAAACTATTTTTACTTTCATATGGATTTAATAAAAGATATTCAGTTAACAGACAGACCGACTTAGATTTTCCAGGACTTTGAATGAGGTGTCTCAATAAGAGCACTGACGAAAGCTATGGAGTTATTAGATAAGAGGGAAGGTCCTTGTACACATAATTGCTCAAAAGAAATGGGGTCTCTTCTGTAAATTGTCCATTCCATGAGAAGAGAAAGTCACAGAAATTTCCGGTTTATGTTTGACCATTTGTTGGTCAATGTAACAATACGTCTTATAGGATACAATTTATTTATACAATAGGTATGATTATCAGCCCACCAAATCTACTTATGATATTGAATTGTTCAAGAATGAAGAAAGAAAGGGCTGACACTAAAGACTTTCCGATACTCAGCAGTCAGACAAAGACAGGTGAAATTAATTATACTTAGACATGAAGTCTTAACTTCAGATACATGATGATGATCTCTGAGCTGACTATTTCTTTTAATGATATCTGTGTTATGGCAGGCAGCTTTTTGCATTCAGTGCTTACTAGTGGTTAAAAAGCAAAGCCACTGTTAGAAATTGCTATGAAAGTACTATAGGGCAAAGCAGAGATCATCATATACTATGAAGCATAAGCTATTATAAGAATTATAAACTGCTGCATACCTGCATCTTGAATCCTGATTCCCCCTCAGGGTGAATAGAGAGGAATTGGAGAAAGTTCAAGGGAAGAAAATATGAATGATCAAAAGTCTAGAAGGACTTTATGACGGCTTGTCCCAATTAAGTAGGATTCTTCAGTTTGGACAAGGGATGGCTAAGGGGCAATGCACTAGAGACTTATGCATGGCACAGTGATAATAAATAGGGATGAACTGCACTTTCTGTCTCTCCATCTCCCTAAACACAAGAACTGGTAAATATCAATGGAATACAGCATGGGAAGATTAAAAAAAAAAAAAAAAGAAAAAAGGTTGTAGGTCTTATTGAAGCATGCAGTTAAATTGTAAAATTACAAGATAGTAGATACCAAAAGGTTATGCTGGTTGTGGGAAAAGCTTGCCAGATTCATATGCCACGGTTATTAAAGGATTATTAAAAACACAGAAACCACATTTTGGTCAGGAAATGATCCACAAGTGATCTGAGACCAGGGAAGTACTTGGGTAAGTATCATACACGCTTGCCATGTTCTTATAATGCTCTTTAGGTGTCAGCTTTTGGACATTGTTTGAGTGAAGACAACTTTGATCAGGCAATAGTCAGATGAAGTACAGCATTTTTATAATCTATGCTTAAAAATGTAAGAAATATGCCACTATGCATTTATGTACACTGCTTTTAAGGATTTGATAAAAAATTGTTATTACTAGCAATATATTCTTCAGGAAAGATATGAGCTCATAATTGAAACATACAACCTGTGCAATAATGGAAAACTAGCATAGTGTGGTGGGTAAAAACTCAATCTACACAGAAAAGCAAAGACACTTGGTAAAATTGTCAAACCCTGGATAGCAGTGAAGCGCATTGATCACAGGAGCAGTGGGTAGAATGTGATTCAGCTATTTACTCTCATTCTAACCCTCCCCATGCTCATAGTTGTGAAAAACTCATTCAACATCTCTTCCAAAATGACCCTGCATAGACAAGGGCAAGCAACATGCAAAAAATGTCAGCCATGTTCACCAGCCATTTCAGTGAGCTTTATTTTAAACCTTCCTACTATGTGATATTTAGATGAGAGATGTTAAATTTGCTTCATTCACTTTGTTCAGGATAGTGGCTTGTAAAATTCTATCACTTATCTGACAAGATTAAAGTTTTACTTGCCTTTACAGAAGAGAATTTGTTTTGTTTTTTTTTGTAGCAACAAGACAAATTTTCTCCCTTCATCCTAATACAGTTAAAAAGTTGAATCAAATGTGAAATGCTAAAATGAAATCAAAAAGAATTATGACATGTATTCCCCAAATCAAACTTCTGACACGTTACATTAACAAAGTAATTGTTCTTTATCACTGGGACAAAGATAACTGTGAGAGTTACCTGACCAGGCTTTGCATTTTCACAGACGACTACATCATAATCTCTGGCAAGCTCTGGAGGATTGTCGTTGACATCTAGTATTCTAACACCAACTGGAACGTGGCTCACCAGTCCAGGATTGTCTGCAAAACACACAAGGGGGTATTAAGCCCTTTGAAGTACTCAATATTCCCTCACATCCTCAATTTAAAAGTGGTTTATTACAGAAATTTTGGTAGCAACGTATTAAAAGCTGTAAGTAAAAAGAGTGGGAAGTATGGTATGAGTCCTAAGTCACTTAAGTCAAATACAAGTTATGATCAATCGCTTTGCAATGAATGTGAAAGTGGCATCACAGCACTGAATTAAATCTAATACAAAAAATATTAAAGCATGTTTTCTTTTTCACAGTTACTTAAAGAGTTGACAAAATAAAATACAAACATAATAATAAAATACAAATGCGTAAGCCTCTCCCAAACTTGAGTTCTAATTTTTTACAAGTTATTATGCTATTTCTCAAAATAGTTACTGAGTCCAGTTTTTGCAGGAAGAAAGCAATGTCTAAGTACCAGTGTCTTAGTCTGTGATCTGTACTTTCATGAGAGCTACCCTAAGACATATTTCACCCTCAAAAAAGCACAATAAATAGAATCCTTTCAATGAGAATACACTTTACATGACAAAATGGAAAAAAGCCCAACAATTCTTTTCAATCCATAATACTCTTGTTCTTACTTCTAAGTAATAAGGTAATTTTTTTTTATTGAAAGACATATATGTTTAAACTTTTTATAATTAACTAATATACACCTTCTGAAGTCCATATACCAATCAATTAGATGACAAACTTCATCTTCCGTTCACCAATTAAATGAGACTATCAGTAGAAGACAGTAAATTCAATCTTTCAAATGCAATAAAATGGGGTATTACAAACTGACATATTAAAAATTCATGTCCCTGTGAGTGTTCACAAAAAGCAAAGGCAAAAAAAAAGAGAGAGAAACATTAGTAGTCTAAACCTCATTCTCCTTGGTTATTTTGATTGTAATTAATCCAAACATGTTCCTGTCAAAGAGGGTCATTTGTAAAATGCTTTATTTTTGTCAAACCTTTAATGATCTCTGCTCAGAATTCTGGAAAGCATTGATTAGACATATACTTGGCTTCAAAATGATCAGTGATGTAGGCTCACAATGAAAGAATACTTGAGAATGTTGAAGTTTCTTTTGTCAAATGGAGAGATCTATTTCTATCTTCCCTGTTTTCACATGGGATACTGGCCAAAGCATCTAGGGCTCTGAAGTTCTCTTCAGATTTTTCACATTCTCTTTTTAACTAATAGGTCTACATTCACCTGATGATTTTACTTCACTTTTGGAACTTAGTCAATTATCCCTGTAAAATGGGAATTGAAAGGAGATCAAAAAAGTTAACAGAAGACTCGATAGGTAACAGAGGAACCTCTATTCCCAATTAACATTAATGTTAGAAGTTAGAAGAATACACTCAGAAGACATTTATAGACTTGTAAATTCTATTTTTTTGCTGAAATTTTCCTTAAATATTCTTATTTTCAGCTTTACCCTGAACCTATGAATGTTTTTGTAAGAGGTAAACTAAGGGACTAAAACGGGCTATCTCAATTGTGTTCATGCAAGATGGAGGGTTTCTATTGTTATGCAGAAAACACCTTTAGTGGAAAACTTTGAGGAATGTTAAATTGCTGGGGATATGTGAAGTGAAGGTGAGAAGGAATGACTCTTTGCTGTCCACTGTGTCTGGGAGAAGGGAACCATTTATCTACTCTTATTACTGAAGGAATCAATCTTCTCTCCAGGAGACTCTTTGCAGTATGATTATTAACACAAAAAGATGTTTGTTTCTTTCCTGGAGGTAGGTCAAGAAACTGTGCAGAACAGCATAAACAGTAGAAATTTAATATTTCTTACTGCTCACTTAAATATAGCTTACAACAGATTTAGGTAACTTCTTTTGTCGACATCATCAAACAATGTAATTACAAAAATTCTGTGATTACAATTACAGAACCTGGTATCTAGGGCTAAAAGAAACTTTGGTTTTGACTATTTGTTGGGGAGGTTGTCACACATAATTTGTGTGGTATGTGAATTAGAAAGTGGTATAAATGAAAGGAAGGACACAAATGTACATAAAGAAAGAGCACACAAAAGCATAGAAAAAAGATAAAAGGTAGAGATCATAGTAAAGGGTAAAAGAGGAACAAATCCATTTTGGAGGGTATTCAGAACTATAATGAAGAATTTGAGGATTTTAACAGTAAAGAAAACTCAAAGGAGTTTTAGCCAGAAGCCAAAAACATTGTGATTTTCAGGTAATCATAGGATCACTGAAAAAAATCTTAGTTGAAAGGGACTTCTGGAGGTCACTAGTCCAGTCTCCAGCTCAAAGCAGTGCCATCTTCAAAAGTATAAGGGGATATAATACATCTAAGATGAAGGGAGCAAAAAAGCAGGAAGCGCACAGGGCAGAGGGTACCAGAGATAGAGAACTGCTCTTTAGGTCTGGCATGTTACTGTGCAAGGAAAAATCAAACTTTTCAGTCAAGTGTGCGGCAAAAGGGTTAATATTTTTGTTTCAGTATAGTGTAGCAGACGTCTTTGTCCCACCTTAAAGGTGTCCTCTTGTATGCCAGTCACGACTACCAAGACCAGTCTTACTCTAGTCAGTTAGATTTGCAGTATTTTCACAGAGAGATTTTATGGAGATTCAGAAAGTTTACCTTTATTTCTTCTGCAGCTGCTTTTCAGTACAAAGAATTTATAAATACCTCACCAGTTTGAAAGAGTTCTTAATTCAAAAGTATTATTAGTATCTCTCTGGAAAGAGTTACCTCGTGGGATCACTGACATTTGCAGGCAAATTTCCATACTGACAGCCTACTCACTACAAAATGCTAATAGGGACAGTACTAACACCACTTACAAAATCAGTCTGGAAGATTGTGTATATAACATAGATTTGCATGCAAGATGACAGAACAGTTTATAATGGGGGAAGAGAAAGAGAATGAATTGAAGCATATACAAGCTTTTTTCTTTTTTAATTTTTCTTTTAAGATTTGGTTTAGGGAATCAATATAAACTACAACCTTTTTCAGGTATACAACTCACCTGTGATCTCCAAACCACTCTAATAACTGGTCCTTTTAATAGTAAATAATGGCCAGTCTTCGCGAACGAAGATCTTGGGAAAGGTCTTTTACCTTTCAAGCCTGCGCAATGGATTTTTTAGGTGAGACACAGCCTGCGCTGAACTGAGCCCACCCTTTAATCCTAAGGTTCATCTGCCGGGGCCAAGCGAGCTTGGACAATGGCAGTGAGGTCCTCAGGACGTAGGTTTGTTTAGAGTGACCTTCTCATAGATGGATGGCCTCACAGGGCTAACGGGCTCCATCTGCCTGGGGGACTGGGGAATCGAACCTGGGTTGCAGCAGTGAGAGTCCTGCATGCTAACCACTAGGCCGCCAGGGGTCCCACCTTTTAATAGTACATTTTGTTAATTAGACAAATTTCTTGCAGCAGTTTGGCAGATTTCCAGTTTTAAAATAATCAGTGCTGACATAAATTTCAGGTCTGCACATTATAAAACATTCTGTGTCCTATTAGCATTATGCCTCTAGAGTAGATTTTTCAAAGTGAATGCTCCCTGTTTTAAGGAGTAACTGAAGCAGAAACATTGCTCTGATTCACCAATGCTAGATACTTGCTTTCTTATGCTTGAGACTTTTCCCAGAATAGATCTTTTCCCAGAATACTAAATATCTGTAAAGTGAATCAATTTCATTATCAGATCCTCCACTGGCAAGTCCACTATAAATCTACAGAAGACCCTATCAACAGCCAGTGTGAAGCCTTGAATCTTCTCTTTCATTAGTTTCTGCGGGGCCAACTTTAAAATCCGTATTTAAGAAGAAAGCTTTTTAATGTAGTTACTGCTGTCTGATACTTCCTTTTCACTAACAAAATTACCATAGGCTTTATGAAAATAAATTCTACCTGAATGACTCTCAGAATAGAAATCCTGATATGAACAGTCTTTTGTGGTTTTGTTTATTTGCTTTTTGTCTGTTTCATTTTCTTGTTTTGTTTGTTATCATGGTTTTTTGGTTTGGTTTGGGTTTTTTCCTAGACTAGTAGAGTTAAACAGTTATGAACTGTTTAACTATAATATATAAATCCCATTTTGACATCTTTCCAAGACCTTATGAGGCAAACCAATACATAGGAAATTACCAACTAACTATCTATACCCTTACTTTTAAAAGAAAAGAATAAAGGGCTCATCACATTTCTCTAATAAAGATTAGTTTTAACAGATGAGAATAATAAACACAGATCTAGGAAGGATAAAATATACTACTAAAGCAGAGCTAAAGTGATGAAATAATGTCTAATATATAAGTGACTGTGGCAATATTCAGAAAATACTGGGTTTGATTCAGGATGGTGCATATGTGATAAACTAAATTTTCTGGCAAGTTGAAAATTATGCAGAATCTAGTAAAGTGTAATTTTCTAGTCTGCTTTTTTCAGCTAGTGAGTACTTCTAAATATTTTTGCCTGTAGCTGGCTAGAAAATGTTTTTATTTTTTTCCTTGTAGCAAAATTTAACTTTTCACTCATGAACACAAACCTGAAGGCACTGCTCACTTCTCTTAGGTCATGCTCGTAGTGATAGAAGCAGCAGCTACAGGAGCAATAGTAATGATTATAGCACTGCAGTAGACTGAAAATAGAGCTCTCAAGCTGGAAAACCCTCTGCCTTAATGTAAGCAAAATTCTGCAGCTCATAGACAACGTTAATCAGTGTACCACAAAATATACTGTTTCTGTGGCCAAAAATGTCTGTTTTGAGACTCTGTTATTGATTCACAAAGCCTCAAACAGAGAAATAAATGCCATGTGATCCCAAAATCTATCCCCTCCTCAGGGACCCACCCTGGTAACCAAGAAAAGCCATAGCCTACACCATCTTCAGATGACAATATAGGAATATCTTCATCATAGCTTTCCCCAAAGAAACAGAGGAGAAGAAAATCCAGCATTCCTAGAAGCCAATGACCAAACCAATATAAACAGGGAATAAGCACCAAAAC